CTTAAGTAGACTTTCATTTCACTACTTATCCAAACACTGTATAATATATTATTGAATTAAATAAAAGGAAAAATAACTTTTTCATCTACACTACGAAAATAAATATCAATTTTAGTTGAATTCATTATAATAATAGTGTCGAAGTGTTTAATATAAATATAAAATAACAAAATCCATATTTAATAAATGCCAAAACTGTTGATCAATAAAAAACAATTACAATTTCTGTGTATTTTATTCAAATTAATTTAAGGTATTTTTACATTGTCATTTAGTATTTGATTTAATGAAGTGAATTAAAATTAATATCATTATATTTTGAATGTAAAAATCACAGTATTATAATAATTATCGATTCCTGACTGAAATTCTCATCATTTCATTTCAATTTCTCGAAATAAGTTAGTATACATTAATAAATAAGTTAATAAATTGAGTTTCTATAATTTGTAATAAACTAATTAAAATTTTTGCAGTTTAATCTGGTCCTAGAAATCGTACAAATTTAGATGACTTTTATATTAATTATTGAACATATGTTTACTATTAGAAACACGATTTTGTTTTGCATAAGTCATAAAAATACATTTAACTTCATTTTGGATCAAAGATCAAAGAATTAATCGATAAAATATAGAAAACAACAAAAACTAATTAGATATCAATGGCATTGATTCAATGGAAAGCTACTAAATATGGGCTGAGTTCTGGAAAACCCTTTTATTCTGTCGATATTATTATTCTTTAGTATTTAGTAAACACTTAAATATTCAAAAAGAAAAAGTTTAATCCGAAACACAATACAAATAATTACATAAAAACAGAGCAATAAATCGCGAAATACAAACACCGAGAAAAAACAAAAGAAATAATTGACTTTTTTATGGTCGAGTCTATAATTGATTTATTAATTTGTGGCACAGAATGAGTGCGAAGAGAGCGACAGATAATGACATATCAATCATTAGACGAGACATTAGTGGAGAGAAGACTAATGGCTCGCAAACTACGAAAGCATTCAAACGATTACTGAACGCAAGAATTGAGTTCTCTTTCGGCTCTTTATTATTGCCGACTATTATAGCAATAAATATGAAATACGAGACCAAAACAATTGCCGAACAATGTCTCCAAAACTCATTCAATAAAATCTATTTATTTATCACAGAATTCGTTACAATAATTGTAATTAAAATCAAAACATATTTTATTCCTCAGATATTTCGCTTTCCACTGACTTGTCGTCCAAACAGTCATCAAAATGAATGTAAGTCTGTTTGGGTTGTGGCTCATCGGGCGCCCACCAGCACCACACCGTTTGTCCCAAAACCAGCCGTTCATTGGTCTGAATGATGGCCGCGGCGGCCGATTGTCGCGTCCGAAACCCAATCAAAGCCTTTCTGTAGTAAATCAGTATCTTTTCGACGAATACTTCAAACTCTTTGAACAGAATTTTGATGAACTCTTCGCACAGAAGACGCGTCTTTGAAATGCCAACGAATCGTCTCTTTCTCGACGACAAAGCACTTCAGAAACCGACCGTTCATTACGTCTACGGCTTTCTGTGCGCTCTCCTTGTCGTCAAACGCCACGAATCCGTAGCCCCGGGAGGAAAGGGTCTCTTTATCTCTCACCACAATGCAGTCGAAGACGCGTCCGAACGAAGAGAACGCCTGCAGGAGTTGTGGTGTTTCGATGTCTGTCCGCAAGTCGTCCACAAAGACGTAGAACGAGACGCGAGTCCTGTCCTCTGGCGGCCGCAAAAGTCCGCTCCAATAGACGTCGAGCGCGGTGTCCATCCACACGAAGCCGTCTAAGAGGCGGAAGGCCTTCCACGCGCTCTCCAACCCATCGAAGTCGATGTGAATGTAGGCGCGAGATTCGGTCGAGTCGTAGACCTGTTGGATGTCTTTCAGGTGATCGACATCTTCGGTGAGTTGGAGGACGAGTTGGAAGACATCCAATTCGGTGACACTTTCGTCAAGATTCGCAATGCAAAGGGAATAGAGTGGACACAAGTTTTTGTCGCTTTTTTCGGTCTCACAATCGCTGACTCTTTCGACTGAATGGTTCAGAGAGTCCTCTATTGCCGTGAATTCAATGCTCTTCTCGTCGAAGGAATCGATATTTGAATTCATTTCCATTGAATCCGACATAACGTCTGGTTTTAACGCAATTTCACGCAAAATATTTCTTTTGTCTGTTCATTAGTTTTTGGTTTTATTCAGTTTTTTATGTGTTTGTCTATTAGTGTGCAGTTATCACAGAAATTACAAGTATTTTGATTAAATTTCGTTATAAAGAGTCATAAATCAGTGATAAGTTTATTGACTATTATTTGGTTATTATTAGAAATAATTGAGAAAACTGTTTGCCTTATATTGAGAAGCCTTTAATCAATATATAGAGTAAGAATTGGGTGATAATACACTCGGAATAAACGCAATGTAGGAAAGCTTTGATAGAAATCTCAAGAAATATGTGATCAAATGTTTGTTAAGAAAAGTAAATAAGAGTTTCTTGGTTTAAAATATTTCTTTTTTTCGTTCAGCCCTTCAGTAGAGTCTCGTTATTACAAACTCCGGAAAACTGTTCCCAGGAAGTCTATAATAAGAGACTGAAAAACAATAGATTATCATTAAATCAGATTTTGTGAACGGCTTTCGTATGGTTTGAGACAAACGTCTCGATGTGTGAAATGATTTCAACACAAAGTGTATAAATTTTGGAGTTTATCTCTCTTTAGTTCCGGTCTTTGTTGCCAAGAAAGACACAATTGATGTCGACTTTGGACAACAGATTTCAAAAGCGAACTCATTTCGAGTTAAATACAAATTTGTGGTCACTTTCAGACGTTGAATGAGAAAATGTTTGACAAAAATTCAATTACGGAATACAAGACATGATATTCAATACTTTTGTGATGATTGAGTCTATCTATAGCTCATGTCGTCTCAAGTAATCCGCGATTTGATAAATGTATGCAAAGATTGAACACAAATACAGCATTTGATTGAATAAAACAACTTTTGATCGCATTTTCCTTGTTTTCCAACTCTTTGCGAATAAATACGAAAATTCTGTCGATTTTTCGGTTTTGCATATAAAGGGTTTTATTGACAAAACGTTTTGTTT